TAGTTTGAATATATTATGAGAAGTGAAGAACACAGCCGGAACTTGTGTATTCCTAGTCAGGATAGAACCACAGACTGGTCATTCGGCTGAACTGCTACGGGCACATTTGTTAGGTATGCGAATTAGCCATTTTCCCCTCTCCCGACTTTAGGATATCGAGTACATGCATTAACGTGTCTCCATCACCCGTACGGAAATACTCCCAATGTGCAGTTAGAAGTATTTTCCCTAACCGAAAGTTAGAGTGCAATTTATGAAATTTGAGACGCCAAGTCCGCGTAGACTAAAATACTAGATTAGAAAATGGCTGTGAAAGATGCAAGACTGCAAAAGAATTTGAAAAAGGAGCACACGGCATGGTTGTACGTCTTTACGGCTTACACTAGCAGTGCATATCATGGGATCACCTGACCAACTCTTGTTTTTCTCGGTCAGACTAAGTTTCTATAATCTCGACAGTTCAACTGTTGTCCACGAGTTTAAAGAAAGACCAACGTCTGCGTTGTACGTTTGTGTAATCAAGACTTTTAGCTGCAAGACCGGCATAGACTGCTATAGAGTAAGGAATCTGGCATGGTAGACTCTTCAGGTACGTCATTTTAATCCATTTAAGAGTGGCTGATTTATCAAGTAAACGCTTTACTTTTATAAGCATTTTCACGCCCATCGAGCCTTAAATTTATTTACGTCTTCGCTCGTCATCCCGCCCTGACTGTTTGAAACTATAAAATTTCAGCTCCTTCCAACTTGCCGTCTAATAACGTTTTCGCCGCCATTACAACGAACCTATTCTCCCGTCTCTACCATCAAAATCTCTCCACTGGCAGTTCAGGACTGCTCATCACCACGCTTTCAGATTTGCGTAGGTCGCCCCGTTTTGCCGCTTCCCCCTTAAAAAGACTTTTAAGTTTGTCTTTTTACACCACCACCATCCCCAACGTAACTTTTAATTACTGTCATACCTACCATGTAAAGAACAGTGCACTGAAGTTATCCGTTTCTTCCACCGTTCTCTAGACTCGACCAGAATATATTGACTCCTATGCTCGAGGCAATTGTTTGCGTGTCGAAATCTCGACTGCTGCTGCTTGCGCGATGACCAGCGGCCAT